GTTATATGGAAGAAAATACGCAATACCCTAGACAAAAACAAATCTAAAAAATCAACGGTAATTTTTAGGGACTTGAAACTTCCACCTTATTATTATTATACGAAATACTTCTAGGAAATCTAATTAAGAAATAGAAATTTTGATGAAAATTTTTTTAAGTTTAATTGGTTTTTGTGAACTTTCTGCAAGCTTTGAAACTTTTATTTATGTGGTACCTGATATCGATCGACTCATATTTTAAATGAAAATTATAAACAATAAATAAATAAACATAAGTTGCAAGCAACATCGTTTTGAATTTTGCTACTATCTCATTGACCGCAGCTGTATATCACTGTAATTTTGAATTGAATTTTAACTAGCAATACTAATGTTGTGATCGCGACTCAAACAAGCTGATGAAAATTTTTTTTATGTTTAATTAGTTTTTGTGAACTTTCTGCAAGCTTTGAAACTTTTATTTATGTGGTACCTGATATCGATCGACTCATATTTTAAATGAAAATTATTAACAATAAATAAATAAACATAAGTTGCAAGCAACATCGTTTTGAATTTTGCTACTATCTTATTGACCGCAGCTGTATATCACTGTAATTTTGAATTGAATTTTAACTAGCAATACTAATGTTGTGATCGCGACTCAACCAAGCTCTTACTCACCAAAATATAAACTGAGAGTGTTCCTTATTCCTTCGGCTTCATTTCCATTATTCGTTAGATACGTAGAATGGTTTGGGTAATTTCTATCTCGGTCATTAATTCGTTGCTCATGAAACCAACTTGTGAATAACTCATCCTTTTCTTCCACTAAAAAGTTGTGTAAAGCGCAGCATGATTTAATGACTGAGTTCGTATTTTGAACACCATTGTCAATTCCTTTTCCAATCCTGCGGAATATGTATTTTTTAAAGCGTTTGAAAGATGCAAATAAAATTAACTGCAAGTTTATTACCTTGCTTTTAAATGACCGAATACATTTTCTATTACTCTGCGACATTTTAATAATCGGTAGTTGAATACCTTTTGAGCAGTGGTGTGGTTAAGATGAAATGGAAACGGCTTCATAACATGTCTTGACAAGCAAAAGGCAGAGTCACCTAGTATTAACACTGGAATATTTGTCGACTCAAATTGTACACTCATTTCGTTTAACAAAGCACAGTTTTGAAGTTCTCTCTTTAATAATGATCTCTCGTATACAGGGTGTCCCAGAAGTAACATGCCAAACTTTAGGGGAAGGTAGGTGGGGCGGTGAGCTCCCTGATAAACAACAAATTTTCAGGTAAATGTGTCACCGTTTTTGAAATATTTACATTTTTTCGAATTTAAAAAAAATCGTGCCTTTTCATGTGTTTTCTTTAACTGCAACTACAAACCGGGCAATACTTAGTAAATTTTGCATGTAAAATACTTCCAGATAGTTGCCTCTCCATACTCAAATGCAATGTACTAAGTGGTTCATTTGAAATCTGGCAGCCAATTAGCTGCTCTAATTTTCACAAAAACAAAGTAAATGAAGCGAAATGAAAATATATCACTTTTAAGAAATATGTTTTTATTAAAAATAGGAAAGTAACAATGAAATTAGTCCCTTCTCCAAAACTGCCGCACCTTTTGCGATATCCCCTTCATCAGTCTTTGGACATCATCTTTTGACATTTTTTTAGCTTGATTACGCCATCTTATTTGAAATTGTGCTACTGTATGGACTTCAGATTTTGTCTTCTTCAGCTCTCTTTTCATTTGAGCCCGAAAAACTTCAATAGGCCGTAACTCAGGACAACTCGGAGGGTTAGCCGCTTTCGGCACCACATTGACATTATGTCCTGCGTAAAACTCTAGGACTTTTTTTGAATAGTGGCACACAGGACAGGAACATCATGACTTTGTATAAAAGGGAGAAGTCTCCGTTCCAAGCACTCTTTTATTTTCTGTGCTAATTGTGCTCACGGTTACGAATTTTTTTACCACATGTGCATATTGCTTGCCAGACAAGATATTTTTTTGGATATTTCGACACTTTTTTGTACTTATACTTTGCATCAATTTCGTCTTTATTAGTGGCAACATAAAATTCCTGTCCTGGAATTTGTTTAAAGTCAGCAACGCAATAAGTTTCATCGTCCATGATACAACATTGAAATTTTGTGAGGAAATTGGTGTACAATGCAAATATGCCAATTTGAGCATATTTTATCAATAAATGAATAAATTTTTCTTCAAACAACTCATGTATATCTTATTTCACGTGAACCCATCCTTCCCACAAAATATTGATAGATATAGCCCTTGTTATATACTCTAGTCCGAATTCCGATAAGTAACATAAAATAATGTCAGGAGCAGGTAATAATGTACCTTTGTACTATTTAGC